TTACTTAATATATGAAATATAAATATAGATTGCCAAAATTTGAGTCTCACAAAATAGAATTAGGGTCTCACAAAATAGAAGGAAATCATGTCTACACCAGGGGTACAGAAATAAACATTGCCTCTATTTCTCTGGTACCTTTTTTGTCATTCGTTGCTGGGTCAATATTTTTCCTCTTCTCTCTCAGAAAACAGTGTAATTTACTTGAAAGGAACATACCCCCCACACACACACACACAGAGAAAGGACATCAGAGAGGAAACGATTTTCCAGAACAAATCTGTTGATGTACCTTCGTGTGCACATATTTTCTTCTCTTTCTCTCCTCTTCAAATGGAAAATAATGTTCCTTTACTTAAGGCTCTCATACCTTGTGTTCTAAGCTCTAGATAGATGCCTTGTGTTTCCACTCTTTCAAAGAAGTTAACCTGGGATTATCTTCTTTTACTATATTTTTAACAGCTACTTCTCCACTAGGTTTTATCCAATAGGGTTTCAAATATTCTCTCTTTCTGACTCACAGACACACACACACACACACACACACACACACTCCTACACAGAACATCACACACAAAAATATATTTACTTATATATAATATTTAATGTACCTTTGACCTCATATTTTCCTCCAACTTTCACTATCTAACAAAAAATGTCAGAGGAACTATTGATACCACTGTTTTGGTTACCTAGTGCCACTCTTAGCAGAAATACCACAAATGGAGTGGCTTGAACAAAAAGGAGTTTATTCTCTTAGATTTTTGGAGGTTAGAAGTCTGAGTTACAGGTGCCAGGCTCTAGGGGCTGGGTGAAAACCCTCTGACCTTGGGCTTCAGCTCTTCCTCTTGATCCTGGCCCACTGAAGCTAGAGGCGTCTCTTCACTCAGATTGACAAACACAAAGTCAACAAGTGAAAAGGCGCAGTCCTGATATTACCAAACCACACGGCAGGCCATTAATCAAGTCCATTAAAAGTCCCAAGGTTGGCAGGGCAACGTGGCAGACTGCTGAACAATGACTCAGCTATATGCAGGGTTCAAGTATGCCATCACCTAGTGACCTTCCTCAAAGCTGCTTCTTATATACAGGAAGAAG